ATTGTGTCGATACAAATGTACATTTGGAGATTATAAGTCACGATGTATTATTTTTACGATTATGTGAAATAAAGGTTTCTTCAATTTATAATGATCATTGTTCAATTCTCTTTACAAAGAATTTTATGGATCGAAATGATTTTATAGATTGCTGGTGTGAAAATGATGTAATCACTAATGTTTTAAGTAAGGCTTGTTCGAGACTTGACAGGATTTTTCGCAAGACTCGGATGCCGATAGCGATCGAGGAGCGATCATTACTTGTTAGGTCGTCAAAATGGATCACCTCATTAATGAGGTATGATTAAAATTTACTAAGGACTTAAAACTAAATATTAATAATTTTTTTTTAAAAAAATTCTTTTTCTCTCTCTTCAATTTCCTCTCAACTATTCTTATATTGTTCTCTTTTTTTATCTCTCTCCAACTCCATTGTCTTCTTGTCCTTTCCTTCTTCTTCCATTGATAAAATTGTGTAATTTCAAGAGCAATGATAATCAAAAGGTTTTACTTTCTAAACTCTTTTCCACACATCTCTCTATACCTCACTAGGTATGTTATATTGGAAATTTTATCTACTCTCAACTGCTCAAATTGTTGGAGAGGATATGTTTTTTGCTTTGTATGAATATTTTTCCCTTCCTTTCTAAGAGGACCTCTTTGGAAGAGTTGAGACATTTGCTCATCATGAAACCAATCCTCACACATACATCACTATTATCATCTCAACTTGTTCCTAGAGATCTAGATTTGGGGCGATTGCAAAAGTAGTATAACGCACATAACTTATGTCCCGTATTCAAGTAAGCATGTAGAATCTCAAATGGCCATTGGAATTAAATTAAAATGAAAATCTTGCATGTCTCATGTTTGAAGGAATCAAGATTAATGTTAAATAAATCCATGAGTTCTTTCATTAAAAACATATAAAAAAGTAATACCAATTATGATGTTTTGGAAGTAGTTAATTGAATCGATAATAAAAATATAGATTAAAAACTCTCAATCCCAAAAATCTCACACTTTAAATTGAAAATTTCACTCTCGATCTCCAATCTCAATCAATCACATGTAAAGTAAACTTGAACTTAAATAAATTTTCAATTGTTTAAAGAAAAAAAGAGAAGCATTAGATGAAAGGGTGGATTAGAGTTTAAAGAAAAATTAAATTAAATTGTTTGCTTGATTAAATGTTAAAAACTTGTTTATATTTAGCTTTAAATTTTCTTAATAAATTTTGGTTTTACCTCATTAATGAGGTGACTCATTTTGATAACTTGATCGTACATAGCTTTTGATATATTGTTGGTGTATCAAATATTAATCCTTTATTTTTTGTTTTATAAATCCTTTGTTTATTTTTAAATCTCAAGTCTTTTAATAATTTGTGCAGATCAGTTTACGAGTTTTCTTCGAGTGAAGTGTTCTTAGTTTTAGTACTCTCTATTCCTTTTCATTGCGTGATTTTTTTCAAATTTGTTTTTGACGCTTGAAAGTTTGTATCAAGCGAGAATGACGGTGCACTTTCTAAAAAAAGAATGTTTGGTACGACTTTGTTTTTGTGAGCAATATGTAGCAAAAACAAAAAGGAAGGCGGAATTGGTTTTCCCCCAATGGAGGGTTTAGAAATGGGAATCTAGGTTTTTCTTATTTCTTTCCTTGTTCGTCCTGATCAGAGATATATAGAAACCAATGAGACAAGAATAAATGTTTCAGATAAGGGAGAATGGGGAAAGGAGAGAAGGAAGAGAGAGGTTAGTAGCGGTGGCCGTAGACAGGGACAAATCCAGCCAGCGTGCTCTCAAATGGACGGTTGAAAATTTCATCACCCGAGGCCAAACTGTGAGGCTTGTCCATGTTATCCCCAGACCACCTTCCAATCCTAATCCAGGTCCAGCCCCTGCCCCTCCACCTCCCTTTCACATCTAAATAATTAATGGCATTGCTTGGCACCATCAAATAGGAGGAGGAAGATGGAGGATAAATGGGCTTGATTAATTAATATTCTGTACGTTTCCATACATGTTTTCAGCTTTTTCTTTTCTACTTTCAGTTGGAATTGATGACACAGTTGCTGAACGACAGCTTGATAATCAAACCATGGACTTATTCCTTCCATTCCGACGCTATTGTACGCGTAGACAAGTAGGCTTTGATGCTTAATTCCTTCATTGCCCTCTGAGTTTTCTTTCTTTTTTTAAATTTCCTATGTTATATATCCAATGGATGATCTTTAATTTGCATCAGATACAATGTGAAGCAATTGTACTGGAGGATCCAGATGTAGCAAAAGCGCTTATTGAATACATTACCCAATGTGGAATCCAAACTCTTCTGCTTGGTGCAACATCAAAGACTGGACTTTCCAGGTTTTGATCTGGATTTGATTTCTCAAAAGTAACGAGTTTTTTTTTTTTTTTTTGAAGGATTAGTAAGGATTTAAGGCATATATCTGAATTTCCGCAACTCTCCAACTGTATCTGAATTTCTTCTTGCAGATTATTCAAGGCTACAGATATTCCTGCAAGTGTACTAAAATGGGCACCAGATTTCTGCAACATATATGTCATTTCGAAAGGAAAGGTTGCTGCCATACGATCTGCCACTCGTCCGGTCCCCATCATTCGAGGAGGTGGATCATCAACACGACTTGAGCCACAAAACTTGAATAAGGAGGCGCCCTCAGTCATGTAATTAAGCATCATCCCTAGTACCCCAACAATTTATTTATAAACATGCAAAAAGATACACAAGCACACAGTAAGGAGTGTGCTGCATTTTTCACAGTTGAAATTACTTTGCTCAACAGATCACTCTCCAGAGAAAACGATGGATTATTCTATGATGAGCTTGCAGCACCTGAGAATGACATCTCATGTTCAAGCTCCGACGGCTCGTTTCTTTCCTTCTACCAAAACCTGGGCTCTAGTCCTAATCAGCACAATGTGGAGCCTTGCAGGCGCCCAAGATTCTCGGATGTTGGAACATCATCAGCTTCTTTAGGATGTGCAGTAAGTCTATTTCAAATCTGTCAAGACATATAGCTGTGGCTTCATTTTGCAATTTTGCTAAAATTTAAGCACATGTTTTTCCTTTCTTCCTTATAAAGGTACTAATAAACTATACAATAAAAGTGTTGCAAGCAGTTTTTACAATACAACCATTTACAACACCTTACCTCATTGCTTAAAATTTTTATGACTAAATTTTACATTTCCATAGACAAATGCTTACTTTAATTTTGGTTTTCTGAATTCATTTTGGGAGATAATTTCCAGGAGGACACAAATGAAGAAATCAGAAGATTAAGGATAGAGCTGAAGCAAACGATGGATATGTACCATGCAGCCTGCAGAGAAGCATTAGCAGCCAAACAGAAGGTAATTCAGGGTCTCTCTTTAATTCTCCCTTATACATGAGAAATTGCTATAAATTAAGCTCGAAGTTTAGGAATACCTAGCTGTAGGATCAGCTGTAAAGGGTTTAGCCGTGGCAACCCAGTTCATTGCGTGATGATGATGATGATGATGTTTCTAACAGGTGAAGGAACTCCAAGAATGGAAGAGAAGAGAAGAGAGGAGAGTAAGAGAGGCGCAGCAGGCACAAGAAGCATCATCATCAGTTGTGGAAAAGGAGAAGGCAAGGTTTAAGGCGGCATTGGAAGCTACTGAAGCAGCTCAGAGATTCGTTGAGTTAGAGGTGCAGAAAAGGGTGGAAGCAGAAAGGAAAGCACTCAGAGAAGCGGAGGAAAGAGAAATGCTTTTTCTCCATGCTTTAGGCCACTCCCATATGGTTGTCAAGTACCAAAGCTTATTCCATATCTTAGCTGTTCTATTTTTATTCTATTTCTACTTTTCTATATAATTAAAATGAATATTTCTATAGAGAAATATGATCATTTCTGTAAAAAAAAAAAAATCAATTCTAGTATTTTTTACATATATAGAATTTATAAATATATATATATATATATGTAAAAACTTGTAAACATACTTATGAAGTGTCTTTTTATGTAATAAAAATTATTAAAATATTAATGTTTAAATTATTAAGCGAAAACATAAATTAAAAAATAGAGAAAAAATAAAAAATAAAACATTAGACTAATATTTTAATAATAAGTTATCAAATTATGAAAATTTTAAAGTTTTAATGAAAATAAAAATTGATTAAAAAAGGAAAAAATTTACTTAATTTTGTCTTTTGGTAAATATTTTACTAAATTATATAAAGAGTATTTTTGGTTTTGATGAAGATAAATCTTATTATAATAAAGAGTTTAAGTTTTTGATTATATATTATTAAAAATTAATTAAAACTATTAATATTTAAAATATAAAATAAAATAAACAATTATATATTATAATAAAAGGTATTATTGTCTTCTTATCTCTTATTTTTTTTATTATTCTAAAATTATTTTATCAACCAAATTATATAATAACATTTTTATTATATTTTTTTCCTATTTTATTCTCATGAAATACATATTCTATTCCATTCTATTTTATTTCACAAACCAAACATATCCCGTCAACAATTGATAGTTTTTGTGATGAAATGATTCACATGCTTTTTAAAAAAATATATATATTTAAGTAAATAATTGATTAATTGGTGTTATTATTAACATTATTAAATTATTATTTATAAATTTGAGTTTATAAACTATAGAAAACCACAACATTTAAAAGCAAATTAACATAATATTAAATCTGGTTCTTTCCGATAATATTACTCTTTTTAATCTTCTGTTCTTATCAGTAAAAAAAAAATTTTAATTTAAATTTAAATTTGGTTTTGTCTGGAGTCACCTGTACTTTTAAATTTTCTTAAAAATTTACTTTTTCTAATTGGATCAATTTTGTAGTGGAAATCTTTTAATTCTTTTAATTCATTTTAGGTAAACTATTACAAACGGATTGGAACAAATTCCCGGATTCTGTCACACAAGTAATCACATTTTGTCTGAATGATGAAATGACATAAATACCCCTTAAAATATTTGTCCTTGCAACGGTTTAACCACCGAAACAAACAAAATAAACTTGAGGCTCCTAAATTTGGAACTCCCAACCGAAGATTCTAACTGCTGCCCGCCAAGTTTGGGATGGCTTTCTTTCTTGAGTCGTCTGAACAGCAGCAGGAATTTATTTTATTTATATTTGGAAGAGGAAAATAAATAAAAGAAACATTAATTATATACTTGAGAATTTAATAAGAAAATCAGTGTTCCTTAGTTTTATATTGTTTTCCTTATTTACGGAAAACGGATAATCTACCGAACTTGTTGCTCTCTCTTAATTAGCCGAAAGGAGGAGGATTGTGTCCAGGAAAGATAAGGAGGTTTTGAGGCACTTTAACTCATACATTGACAGAATAAAGTAGCAAAATTTTGTTGGGGTTAGTTAGTTTCCCGAGGAACAGTGACATAAGTTTTATTTAAAGAAAACAAAGATTCGAGTACGTGGTTGTGGATTTGTGTCTCACCCATTTTCTCAGCCAATTAGTAATTAATCTCAGGGTTGGGTTGGGTTGGGTTGATTTGAGCTTTGTTGGTCGGTCTTGGGGGAGAGCGAGAGAGATAGAAGAAAAGAAAACAGGGGATCATGGCCAGAAGAAACAATGGAGAAAAGAGAGACGCGAGTGTGGCAGTGGCAATCGATAAGGACAAGGGAAGCCAATACGCTTTGAAATGGGCTGTTGATCATCTTATGTCCAGGGGTCAAGCTATAACTCTTCTCCACGTTAAAACCAAACCTTCTTCCATTCCCACCCCAAGTACATGCATATCAATCTCTGCCTCTCTCTCTTGCACCATTAATGCATGTCATGTCTCAATGTCTTTTGTTTTGTTTCTCTTTTTCAACTCTACAATGCACCATCATTTGGTTTGGATTCTAACCCAAATCTAAATGCAGCTGAAGAGCTTCATTAATTTCTTTACCATAATCTAAATGCAGCTGGGAACCACGTGAACATTTCCGACGTTAACGACGATGTTGCAAAAGCGTATAAGCAACAACTCGACAACCAAGCCAAGGAGGTCTTTCTACCTTTCCGATGCTTCTGCTCCCGAAAGGATGTAGGTTCTTTTTCTTCTTTTATTCATTCATTTCATCACCTCGGCTTGCATTCATGTAATGTATTGGTCCCTAATTCTCGATTTCATGGTATTTTTGCAACAGATAAAATGTAATGAAATCATCCTGGAGGATACCGACATCGCTAAAGCCTTGATTGATTTCGTCTTATCCTCATCAGTCGAGACTTTAGTACTTGGCGCACCGTCAAAAAGCGGCTTTGTGAGGTAATTGCTCCCACCCGCATTCCTGTTTCTCCAGCCCATGAGCAGCAATTACACCTTCTGAACAACTTTCTGCAAATATATAAATATATATATATATATATATATATATATATATATATTCGACAGCTTTAGCATGCTTTCACTCCTTTTCTCTGCTTAACACCACAAATTTCAACTCCAAAGCTAGTATAGTATCCCTCATGCATCCGGAATTTAAATCTTGACAGAAGATTCAGGACAAGCGATGTCCCAACTAATGTCTCAAAAGCGGCTCCCGAGTACTGCACAGTATATGTGATTGGCAAAGGGAAGATCTCATCTGTGCGATCTGCTTCTGCTCCCCCTCCGACAAGACCACTCCCCCCACGTGCTCACTCGCAAACCCAACCTGCTAACATTCTTGAACCCACGGATGCCCCTTCCGGTTCCGCATATAACCCCAGATACAGAGGTTTGCCTCTATTTCTATCATTAAGCTGTATCCGCTTCATTGACGGCTTTGCTCACAGGAATTCCTTAATTTGGTTCTGTAGCTGTAGGTGATAGGCCCCAACATCCACCCCGCAGCATGCCTGAAGATATGGAAATCAGGTGAGTCACAAGATAAGATGATTACCATTTTAAGAGAGGACTATCAAAAAATATGACGTGACTAATATTTCATCCAATATACTGAGGCAATGAACAAGTCAAATAAACAATCCACCAAGCAAAGCATAGAGTTGGGGATACTCCAACACGACCTAACTAGCCTGCTTTACGTTGTTTCCTTTTGGTGCACATAATAAGTATTCATACCATTCAGATCCGGTTTGATTCAAATTTATTTTCTGTTCTGCAATTTATAATGGCTGGTTTATATACCAAATCTACTACGTGTTAAACACAAGTATAATAACATCATAACCCTGGAACAGGTCACCATTCACAAGAGGTCATATCAAATATGAGCCCTCAATTCCCGACTCTGACATATCATTTGTAAGTAGTGGAAGGCCAAGTACAGATCGCATGTTCCCTTCGTTGTATGACAATCTGGAATATGGAACTCCTCGGCTTTCAGTCAGCTCAGATTATGACAACAGAAGCTTTGGGTCATCGTATTCAGGAAACAGGTCCACGGATTTCAGTTCTTCACAATACGAGTTCTCGTCAAGCTCACTGGAAAGTGGGAGGACATCATGGTCATCTCAGAATATGGTAAGTGTTTCTTTCATGGAAATGAGCATAATTAACAGTTACACTGAAAAGAAAACAGCAGTTCACAAGTAGCTCCTAAGCTGCATATCAATAGCTAGACATGCAATTTGGTTTTGTATCTACTTGAGCAGATACAGGATAGAAAATCATGCTCAACTGATCAGATGCCACAGGATGATGTGGAAGCTGAAATGAGAAGACTCAGACAAGAGCTCAAGCAGACAATGGATATGTACAGTGCAGCCTGCAAGGAAGCACTCACAGCAAAGCAGAGGGTACTATCTAAAAGCTGAAATTCTTTTTGAGCATAATCTACAAATTAACTTTTGAATGTGGTATACAACTGAGTATTAAAATTTTAAACTTTGGTAAAAGTTCCATTACATATTGTATTGATTTACCCTGTTAAAGTCATGCTATAACCTCCCCAAATACTTCTGCTAGGGAATGACAATGATTAGAAAGAAAAAAATAAATTCATGGAAAATGAAGAACGCCCTTGGCTACCTACCACAACCATAAAGAAAAAACAGATATAGAGAATATGTAGGGAATGCATTCAAATGGAAATCAAAACGATGCTAGAGAACACTTATGCCCAGTTTCTGCTATTCTCATTACAGGCAAAAGAACTTCATAGTTGGAAACTGCAAGAAGAACAAAAAATAGAAGAGGCACGACTATCTGAGGAAGCTGCATTGTCACTTGCAGAAAAGGAGAAAGCAAAATGTAAGGCTGCCATTGAGGCAGCCCAAGCAGCTCAACGGATTGCTGAACTAGAGGCGCAAAAGAGAATAAATGCAGAAAAGAAAGCCAGCAAAGAAGCTGACCAAAGGAAAATGGCAAAAAAGAGTTTAGGACATGATCTCCGGTATAGGAGATATACAATTGAAGAGATTGAAGCAGCAACAGAGCATTTCTCGTCCTCTCGCAAGATAGGAGAAGGAGGTTATGGGCCAGTTTACAAGTGCAACCTGGACCACACGCCGGTTGCAATAAAAGTTCTACGTCCAGATGCAGCCCAAGGAGAATCACAGTTTCATCAAGAGGTGTGGCAATTTTAAGCACAAATCAAGTTATAAGATCACATAGATGCATAAAATTATATATAACCAGCAGGCATCCCTATCCCTGTCCCTATTCCTGCACACACCCACATGCATGCTTGCTATGCACATAGACATATCACGTGTGCACACATATAACATCAAATAAAATTTTACACTACGTTTCCAATACTCTCTTAAAATTAAATTTAGCAAGCAATGTCAGGAGGCCTTGTTGATGCATGACCTTACCATAAATATTTCACATAAATAACTCGCAGAATGATAAAAGCAAGAAATTCAAGTAAGAAGCAGTTACTTCTGAAATATATATATATACAGAAATGTACACTTTATGTATCGGTAACTCATGTAGGTTGAAGTGTTGAGCTGCATACGGCATCCAAACATGGTTCTCCTCCTTGGAGCCTGCCCAGAGTATGGCTGCCTAGTCTACGAATACATGGCTAATGGGAACTTAGAAGATCGCCTCTTTAGGCGCAATAACACTCCAGTGCTTCCCTGGCAAGTAAGATTCCGAATTGCTGCAGAGATTGCGACTGGTCTCCTTTTCCTCCACCAAACCAAACCAGAGCCACTTGTGCACCGTGACCTGAAACCTGCCAATATTTTGCTTGATCGAAACTATGTCAGCAAGATTAGCGATGTTGGCTTGGCTAGGCTTGTTCCTCCATCTGTTGCCAACTCCGTCACTCAGTATCATATGACATCAACAGCTGGAACATTCTGTTACATAGATCCAGAGTATCAACAAACTGGAATGCTAGGGACAAAATCTGATATTTACTCTCTCGGGATCTTGCTTCTACAAATAATAACTGCCAAGCCACCAATGGGTTTGACTCATCATGTTGACCATGCTATTGAGAACGGATCTTTTGCTGATATACTAGACCCGGCTGTGCTTGACTGGCCAGCGGAAGAGGCCTTGATCTTTGCCAAGCTAGCCCTTAAATGTTCAGAGCTGAGGCGAAAAGACAGACCAGATCTGGGACAGGTCGTGTTGCCTGAGCTTAACAGATTGAGAACTCTTGGTGAGGAAAACATGCCTTTTATCACGCTTGGCGGCAGTGCAGGCCCCTCACCAAATCACAGCCAAGCTTCCACCTCCTCAAATCAGGTAAGCCCATAAATGGATGAAAGTCCACCTTTTTATTTAACAAGACAAATATTTATTTAATTGTGAAAGATAAATAATAGGAGGGAGCTGTTTCTTTGAACTCAAATTACCAAAAATTGAAATATATGCATATCAGGATTTTAGTTTTGTAAGCACACTACCTAACCAATTTCAGCCCTACCAAGTTGTACAATCTGTGAAACCTAAAACTCGGTTCCCTTCTGTTTGTTTCTCAGGATTTTCTTAGTGACCCTCAGTCTGTCCAATCTGGATACGATAGCTCAAGGAGCCGCTCAAACACATCATCTTTCACTGGGAGACGATAAAGTGAGCATGGACAACTTCTCTTTTCTTTTCTTTCTTCTGTTTTTGTGCAATTTTTAAAGCTTTTCCCCTTGATACCTATTCTTTGCTCTCTTTTTTGTAGCTGCGAAGACTGGTCCTATGAAGCTAGCCAAACCAGTGCCAGAATTCAACACAGGGAACCCAAGTTTGTAATAAAAATTGAAGTTCAGAATTCCGAGCATCCGAGTTCAACTAATATTCAATTTTTCATTCATTTGTTTCCCCAGACAAACATGATTAAGAATGTGACTGTACAACTCCTATAAGCATCTTAGAGTAGGAAGTTGTGCTTCAATAGACACGAAGCCACCGAATGAAGAGGTCAAGGATTTAACCGTACAAACCTGATACTCCAGAAACTTTTAGCCTGAAATATCAAGAGAAGTTCAAAATGGTTGAAGTTCAACATTAGAATCATATGTTAGGAATGTCTTTGAAATTTAGCACAGCTCTAAAAGAGGTTTTGAGAATCTTACCATCCAGATGTCTCAAGGATCAAAGGTCCTGCTCTTTCCATTCTTGCAAGTTGCAAGCCTCCCCAAAATAACGTTACTGGTCAAGCCAAATGCCTGTCATGCTATCCCTATGATTGATTGCATATCCCCCACATTTCCCTTTCTTAACACCCTGGCCATATCGACAAAGTACTCATCCTCCTTGCTAGCCCATTTCTTCATACCATTAACTTTCACAAAGTTCAACTCATTTTCAAAGTGGTTCATGCTACCAACACGCACAACATACTCTTTAGTCTCTACTATATCTGCCAAAGCTAGAGAACATGAAATAAAGCAAAAAAGATTAACAAAATGGCTCAGATAACTAACAACAGATTTTTATTCTAAAATTAGAAACTTAAACATTTTCATCTATCATGAAACACAATTTCATGAAGTGGTATGTTTCAGATAACAGGCACAAAGGACCATACTATAATGGACATCATCAAGGTATTAACATAGAAGTAATGGAATCATGTCCATTATCTTCTACTTCTCACCTTCATGTGATAGTATATATTCAAAAAACTTAAACACCAACAAGGATTGAACAACTTTAGCTAAAAATCTATGATGCTGAAGCAACAATAAGAGACAAAAAAGCATTGTTGTGATTAAGCTATTCGCAGACTTAGAATTTTTTAGTTTCCTAGCTAAGTTATTTTAGTAGTTATAGCAGACCTGGATGGGCCAGACTATGGTAGCGTTCGTATTTTGTTTTATTCGAAACAGGTTTAGGGTACTTATATTTAATTGGAATCCATCTACTAAATACATTTTAGTGGAAACAACAACAACAACAGTGCTGAGGACATACCGTGCTGCAAATAGAGTAGGAACCAAGTTTTTCTTTAATTTAACGGAAGATATTCAGGACCATCTGGCTTAGCTCATCTCATAAGAGGGCTTGAGGACTTGGAGAGACACCTTAGGTTCAAGCCATAGTGCACTCTATAATTATTTAGTAATTCCAAAAGATCTGGTTCCTTCGGAACTGTTTTTTGAGATAAACTGCAATTAGCTGCCTGTAAGTCCATTTCTTCTTCTGTCTCTTGAACTGCAAAAACGCCTCTGAGCTAGAGTGGAAGTCCCCTTTACCCAAAGCCTCAAACACAAGTGGATCTGTCAATACCAGTGGAGAATCATCGGCATTCATATGGTTCAAAGCAAAGTCCAAATTTCTTGCAAGTCTTCTGTCCAAGTATGCATCTACAACACAACCATAAGTTACCAAATCAGGAACAACACTTTCATGTTTCATGTGTTCGAGGCTGAGATGGAGATCCCAGAACATAGACATTCTCGAGAAGGCCAAAGCTCTTATATTAAATGTAGTCAGATCGGGACGGAAACCAGAATCCATCATTTTCAGAAACAGTCTCTGCATGGTTTTCATTTTGAAATTAGCAGCATAAGATAATAGCAAGAGATTCCATAAGAGATTGCCCAGGTTTCTCCTCCCAAGACCCAAATCATTCAAAAATTCACCTAACCTGTAGAATTTTCCCTCCTTTATGTAGGCAGAGGACATTGCTCGAATTCCTTCCTCCTCTATGAGATGTCTAGACCTTTTAAGGCGAGCATAAGCAATCTCCATCTCAGACAAGGAACCAAAAATGCTATAGTATCTAAGAAAAGCATTTCCAGTGGCGGAATCTACAGGTAAACCTCTCGAAACCATCTCCTTCAATGTATTCTCCATTAAATAAAGCCGCCCATGCTTTCCAAAGCAAGAGATAGCCACTGGGTACACCTCAGGTGACAAGTTAACTCTGTGCAGAGTTACCTGATCCAGAATTTCGTGAACCTTGTGAAAATGGCCCATCTTTCCGTAAGCATCCATGAACCTTGAAACAACTTGAATAGCAGGCGTAAAAGAAGTAGTATTTAGCATTTCCTCCCATATCACCTGAGCTTGAGGGAAAAGGCCATTGTCTGCATACCAAAGCATGATTTCAGAGAGGGTAGAGTTGTTGGGAATCAAACCTTGAAGCAAGAGGTGATGAACAACGTGTGGCTGAGGCATCGTTTTGCTAGCTAAGGTTTGAAGCAGTGAATCAAAATCTACAAAATTGTTCCTCCCAACCCCAAGGATACTTCCGTCCCGCTTCCACTGCCGGATTATCTGCTGCAAGGGAAATCCCAAAAGAAATAGAAAAAAATCAGTTGAAATGGAAGTTAAAAAGCACAGTAATTCTTGAGAATGAAGGCAATACCCTGCGTGCTAGAGGTAGATTATTGTTGGAGTTGGGCGAAGAAGAAGAAGAAAGGCCGGATTTGGCAGAGGTGCGACGGAAGAGAGGCAGAGGAGGTGTTGTCATGACCAACCACTGAGTTTCCATTTCAAAATGGCAAGAATATTTCCAAAAAATAAAATAAAATAAAATAAAAAATTTATTTTTAGCCCTTTTTATTTATAAAGAAAACATATATTTTTTTTATTTTGCATATTTTATTTTTATTTATTTTAAAAATTTCAAACAGACAATCTTTGACACATGTCATGTGACCTAGCGCTTAAAACAAAAGTTAACAGAAACATTGGGTGGCCGGCTTTCCATCATTGGCTTCCCCAAATCCTCACTGCATTATATCAGTCTGTGTAGTGTAATGCCAAATGTATGCCTCCTAAGAATCTTCTTGTTCTTCGGAATTATATAGCTGATAGTTTGATGCTTTGATTTCTCCATTTGTAGTAGCTTGTTCGTGGGATATCATACCTCTTCATTGCCGGCCTACACTCCACGTTTATATACCGATGTTTGATTCTTCAGCTTTTGGTGTTTACATTGCAAAGTTGATCAATCAAATTCTAAAGACAACAGAGTCATGAGTAACAGGAGGAACCCCCCCGGTCTGCCACTCAATGGGCGTAAGTTAGAGAGAGATGAAGACCTTCTTCTATTCCGGGAATTGCATAAACGCGACAAGGACAGAATTGCCACCCTCCTTCAGCCTGTTTCTGATGAGTTCGAACCTAATGGAGGTCCACATCCTTCTAATCTCTACCAAGCATACTTACCCCATTTGCTTCAAATTAATTGGCACTGAAATTGCAGGAAACTATGCACTCTACAGAATCGCATCTGGGAAGAAAGCATCGGGATATGAGTTTTTCCCTGAAAACAACAAAAATGATTACGATTGGTTTGTTATATATATATATATGAACTACTAGCTACTCATCATCTTGTAATTGTGTGATACTCTAGTTTTGCAATACCAAACTGAATTGTTTCAATGTGATCATTAAGGTTAAAGACACCCCCAGCAACTCCTCTATTTCCATCACTTGAAATGGAAGCTAAAGCCCCACAACTTGTCATCCAGCGGGAGCTACCAATCGTTCAGCCGCTTTCACGGGTACGTACATTTCCTGGAAGTGCAACGATCAGGCATGTGTTTGGGTGGGAGGGAGAAGACTTTTCTGGCTCTCATGATTTGCCATATCCAGATTAATCAATGAATTCAACAATGGTTGCATTGCTTGCATTGTCACTCGGAATTCAACTAAACGCACATTAGGATAGGGAGGCAGTCATCCAATTCTTTGAAACAGCTTGAAATTTGAAAGTTACTAAGCATAGAGCACAACTTGTTACATGAGCTATATATTCAATATGATAAAATGAAAAGCATATACTTTACATCAGTTTTCAGGATATAAAGAGTCGTACAAGGCAGGAAGCATTGGACGACCAAAATCCCCAAATCCGAATCCAAAAGTTCCTTCAAGATCCATAACTCCGAGTCATAGACCAAGTATTCCATCAACTGAAGCCAAAAACACCAAGTTGCCTGCCCCCATCTTGTTCAATCAGAAAACAAGTCAACCCATCTGCACCCATCCTCTGACCAATAAACGAACAAATGTGGTTTCCAATACCAGCAGCATATCATCAAAACCTTATTCCAACCAAAAAGATGACCATATAGATTTTCTTTCTTCCAACCTGTCCAAAACCCTAGGAACATCCACAAATAAGACAAAGCCTAGGAGTAGAGGCGTGTCACCTTTGGCGAGATCAACCATTCCGGTACAATTTGACGGAATTTCGGATGAGACGCCTCCAAATCTAAAGACAGACCGCTCAACATCTGCTACGCGAGGCAGGCCACAGCCAACGGTCACTCCTGCTGCCGTAGCGGTTCATCAAAAGGCAGAACCTAGTTCAACTCCAAAGCCGAGGAGGCAATCATGTTCACCATGTGTAACAAGGGGTCGGAGAGTGGAACCCAAGCAAGCTGTTAAAGGAACACAGGTCTTGGGGAGTAGGATGGTTGAGAAGGTGATGAACGCTAGGAAGTCAAGCGTTGAAGAAAGGGACACAAAGCAAAAATTACGAGCTGCTTCCATTGATGAAAGGACGAAGCCTGTGGTAAAACTGTCTTTCTCATCTGATTCTTCTCATACCCCATTAAATACTAGCCTGATAAAATTTTCAGCAGTGTTATCTCCATTAAATAATAGCCTGCAAGATCCTTAGCTATCCAATCATTTTCTGACATTCCCTTATTTGCTTCCAGTAAAATTTGAGGTGTTGTTGACCTTTGTTCAGCAACAGTCATTGTTGTCGCTCACACTTCATCGCTCTTAAATACTCGTTAAATAAAGGGGCTCCGACTGATACTTGGAAGGTTTTGACACAAAACAATTTCTGACCCGTTGTTGTTTTGCTTTTGTTATTGGCATACAGGAGATTAAACGAGATCGGAACACTTCCAGGCACCCTGGCATTTTTCTCAAACGAGGCTAAGCAAAAGGACTAGGCGAGACTGAATGATCAATTTGCTTGTTTGGGAAATGGTAGCTACAAGGACAGCACAGTTTCTGCAAGTATTACACTAATTATAATCATGCGTCTTCTCTATGACTTTTGGCATGTATATATAAAACAACATCTTGAGGATCGATGCATGCTCATTAGCAAAGCGAGGAATCTTGCCAATCTTGCTAGATTTTTCATACATTTCTCCTTGGCTATAAAATTGTGTTCACTCGGAGAATATATATAATATAAAAGTTAAATTTTGTTAGCTGAAAGATAGGATGAAAGTCAAATTTATTATTCTACTGTTTTGGAGTGTCCAACTTTACCACTATATATTTTTTAAATACAATTGAGAATTTTATGTATAACATTTATAGGATAAATAACTCCCACTCTCTGAGAATTTCATCCTAATTCTATTTGAGTTAATTACTATTGAAGGTAGACATTACACTCCAAAATAATATATGTTGCTGGATATAGAAGTCATGCATGCGGCTAGTCCACCATTTGAGTTTCCGTTTACTTAATGATGTGATATGAATTTTATAACCATTTTTTCCTTCCTACATAAGAGAAACGATAAGATAAGAATTAACACTCCAAACTCAAAATCTAAAGAAGCTAAATGGAGAGATTTTGTTGCTTTATTCCTTCAATTTTTAGCACTTCTAACGTGGATTTCACTCATCACTTTGGGTTTTTTGGTATTTGCTTCATTGTTTGGAAGTAAGGTTTGGTTGTTTTAGTGAGGTTGCAAGGTATATGATTTTGAAGCTTGGTTGTTTTTCATCTTAGGTTTTTATTATTTTTATTTACATTTTCAATAATATAAATATTATTTAAATTTTACATTTTCTTGTCATGTTAGAATATTGTTGTTATTTGAGTTTCATATTTGGTTTGTCATGTTTAGGGATAACAGGGTACCCGTAGATATCTAACTCAGTTATATAAGATTAGAGTATCTTATAATCAGGTTTGAGATGGGTTCGAGTAGTGATTTCATTACCCGTATCAAGTTTGGGTACCACTCTTTGGATACTCACTACTAGAATCTTATTACTATTTATAAATATTTTATTATTATTTAAATAATTAAATTAAAAAAGAACAATTTTTATCAACTTTACAAACAACTCTTTTTGTTTAAAACTAACAAATATATGAAAAGTATGATTACTCAAATTATTAATGTGGTAATAATAATATATTTAAATTAAAAAATTATTAGATTACAAATTATGTTTAAATATATGAATATCATATCATATTACAAAGGAATATAATTACTATTATACATATAAATATATATTTTTAATATAAAAATATTTAGTTTTTATTTTGTGTTAACATTACAAAAATTATAACTTATAAAATTATTAATTATAATATATATATAAATATATATATATACACCATAAACTTATAATATATATACTTAAAGAGAGTCTTTGAAAATAGAATAGTTTTGGAACATAATTTTTTTTTAATTTCATGCAATTAAGGATAAACCCATATAATTAATTAAATTAATTCATGAAACTATAATTATTAATTAACTTATAATGTCTTTTAATGTATGTAGTTTATATATATTAGGTTCATTTATATGGAATATAATTACTATTATATATATACTAAAATATTTTTAGTGTATATATATATATATATAAACTTTAAATATAAACATATTTACTTTCTATTTTGCATTAACATTACAAAAATTATTAATTATAATATATATATACCTTTGTTTATTTAAACTTATAATATATAAATCTAAAGAGATGTTATAAGATAAGAATAGTTTTTAAACCTGGTTATTTTTTTTAATTTCATGTAATTAAGGATAAATCCATATAGTTAAGTAAATTAATTAATGAAATTATGATTATTAATTAACTTGTAATGTCTTTTAATATATATACTTTATATATATTAGGTTCATTTACAAGAAATATAATTACTATTATATATACTAAAATACTTTTAGTATATGTACACTTTAAATATAAATAGATTTATTTTTTATTTTGTGTTACATTTCAAAAAATTATAACTTATAAAATTATTTATTATGTTTGAGATATTTATTTTTGATTATTTAAATTTAAATTTATTATTTGTGTTCTTATTAATTTAATTATCAGTAAATTATATGAAATATGTAGGAGAAATATTATTGTATATGGATACATGTGCAGATTTGGGTTTAGGTAATTAGGTACCATAAAGAGTGTTTTAATAATTTTTTTACATAATCGAGTTTTTAAACGAATTAGGGTAATTATAAGATAGTGGGGATCTATTATAGTTAGGGTTAGAGTAGTAATTTTTTAAATTTTTGGATAGTTAATAGGGTTTAGGTATTTTGTTTTTTATAGGGTTAGTATTCTAGTATCTTAAAATTAGCAACTACCTTACCCGTTGACAGCCTCAGTCATGTTAGGATATTGTTGTTATTTGATTTGTAACTACCGTTTAATAAAATTTCTTAAAGAAAATAGTTATGTCTTCTTCAAACAATAATTCATCAGAGAATTAGTTTTAATTCCAAAACTAATATTGTTGACTTAGCAGAAGAGTTGTTATTAGAATATTAAAATTTGAAAATAATTATGCAAAACTCTCTTTTATTGGTCAAGAGAGAAAGTGTGAATTGTTTCAATGGTAGCATCCACACATGGCTGCTGGCAATGTGCATTCCAGCAATGAAGATATTCACATGGGAAGAAATATATTGGAGATCAAAAGTTTATTAAGAAAAATCAGGATTGAAGTTGAAATTAATGGTTGCTACACTATTTGTAATAATGTTAATTGTTGTATGTATTTAATGTTGCATAAATTTAGTTTGTTTAATTGGTATATGTTAGTTGGTCAATAAAAAGAAATGTATATCGTTGTTGATTTAGTATTAATCTTCTATTAAATGTTGGCGAATGGAAATAAATGCATTTTCAGTGGAAAAATGCATTAGTAATGTAAAAGTTGAATTTGAAAATTACCTTTTGATTAATTTCCATGAGAACTTTAAGACAAGTTCTTTATTATGACCAATTCTAGAGCAGAAAGTACATCTGATAGTGATCTTTCTTCTAGCATTCTAATCTTTAACCGATGTTTCTCTAAGTTCCCCTTCTTTTGTTCTTTTTAGATTTACCATGCATATGGAAATATAATGGAGGCTCAATTGGACCAACTTGACCTTTAAACTCAACCATAATGATATCATGTATAGTGTGAATTAACTTATTATATGCCAACATGAAATTTTTTTTGAAGTATTAACTATCACAATAAAGATCAATATCTCGCCCTTTGTGTGAGTAGTGCAAGCTACTACATACTTACAAAGCAAACCTGAAATTTGCCAAACCTTACAAAGACGACTCCAACTCCCATTTGCAAGTTCATCACAAATCCCTTTCCAGGTTTAGAGATGTTAAACTTACTCTTACTAGTAAGCACCACTTTGCAAAACCTACCACTATACTTAACTTTATCAAGTTTCTTCCTAATTGCTAGAGTAATTACCTTGTCCCATATACATGCCTTTTTATATCTATCATGACAACTCTTTATCAGCTTCACTCTAATATCCTCTAATAGAGTTAGGAGTGGCTTGCTTTTACAACTAGCAACCCACTAATTAAAGCTCTCAACCATGTTGTTTGTGAGAAGATCGCTCTTCACATTAGGATCCAAGGTGTCTCTTACCCATAAGGTCATTTGGTTTTTTTCATCAACCATTCACATCCATCACTCTTTTCAAACTTGATCTTCATCATTATTTCCTTTCATTTCCATTAATTAAAATCTTTCATAGCTTTCTAGAAGTTGATATTCAAATCCAAACCCACAAACCTTTTTTTGAAATTACTATATAAATGCTTAAAATACCTTTTTTGAGTTGCATGGGGCATTAATTCAATTATGATTTCATCTAGCCCCTATCATATAACAAAATTGAATAAATTAATTACTTAAATCACTAACAACATGTTTGGTTGGGGGGGAATAGCTATTCCATTCCTTCCTTATTCATAATCCTTCCTTAAAGCCTTATTTGGTTTAGAATGGCAATTCAGGAAGAAGGGAGAATAGTTATTATTCATTCCCCTTTTAGTATTGGCTAATTTGGGAGATAAGGAATAAACTAAAAATGTTAATGGAAAAAATGTCTTTCATCAATTTGAAAAATTACCATAATATATAAAATGTAATTTTTTCATTTAACCTAATTTTTTCTCTCTCTACCCATTCACTTTTCTCCCTCTATCACTAAATTTCCTCCATCTCAGAGGATAGTAGAGTGTGACAATGGTGCTAGGCAACACCGATGCCCTAATGGATAGATTTGGTCATGGAAAGCATCGATCTAGTGATTTTTGACCAAATCGGGTTGCAAAAGCCCCAAATCCGACATCTTTCATTACATCTGGTCGCGAAAGTGCTGAATCCAGCATTCCTTTGTAAGATTCCTACAATCAGATTTGACATTCCATGATCAGATGCAATCATGAGGAGCATCAATTTGGCATTCCTAAACTTGGTCTAGCCACTAGGAGCACATATTTGCGTTCCTTTACACCAAACACATCTCTAGTCGTCAATCGACAAGAAGAAAGAAAATAAAATAAAAGAAAATGTCAAAATGAATTTAAAATAAAAATTATAAATTATAAAAATTAAATTTAAATTTAATATAATTTATGAGAAATTAATATTTGAAATTTAAAAGCTAAATTACAATTTTAATTATAAATTTCTAATAGTTTAAAAATAAAGAATAAAATAAAATAATAATATTAATTTTCAATAATAAATTATTAACATTTTGAATAAATCATAAATTATTAATATTCTAAAAATTAAAATAAATAACTATATTAAAATTTTAAATAACAATTTATAATGAATCTTTTGAATTAAAAATTAAAAATTATAATAAAGTGTATTTTTATCTTTTTATTATTTATTCCTTTGCTATTCCAAAGTTATTTTTATCAACCAAATTCTTACCCTATTCTATTCCATGAACCAAACTATATAATAGTTATTCATATCCTATTCTATTATCACAGAATAATTATTATATCCCCTCTCTATTCCATATTGCAAACTTTACATACCCAAAATGAAATAACAATTTACATTTTAGCTATCTCCAATTACTGTCAATGGTTGATTGAAGTCCCCAACGACAATACTCAATAGTTACAAAAACCATCCTCATGCATCACCATTTTCAAATTTGGCGAAAGAA